CCAAGAACTACTGGATTGTGCCCTTTCAAAGGGTTAATTTTTATGGATGTGAATTACATTTCAATGAAGAAAAAATATTTCTGCTCTTTCATTATGCATATTAGGGATTTATCTGAAGTATACGATCAGAAACACGTGAAAATGGGAATGTGTCACAACAAGCAAGACGTCTATAACTGAAAAACCAGACACAGTTAAGTATTAAACGTCAGGACTGGTAAAATATTTATAACCTCAAATACATAGAAATTAAATTATCAAAGATGGGTTACACAACAGCATGGTACCACTTTTGCTACGTGTGTCCCACATACTATTCAAACACAAAAAGCAGGACTGCAGACCGACCGTTCTGGTAACGCCAGGGCAGCCCGTGTGGGGCTGACCCTCTCTCAGACAACTGTGGACGTGACACAAAAAACAATGATTCAAAGGCTCAAAAGCAACTAAAAGCACACAGGAACTGGAGAGGATTCAACCCAAGAGAAAGGAATCAGCGGCCACGAAGAATGTGGGGGGCTTTTCCACGAGAGGTATGGGGGGCTACAACACCAACAAGGGGCCACGGTCATCTGGGCTGAAGGGGCAGTAAAAACCTCGGGCTTTCCAGTAAAACCTAGAAAAGCCACACCTCCCCAGATGCAGGACTAAGGAGGTGTCAGACCTGCCCTAACAAAGCATAACGACAGCCACCACAAGGTTAAGATGACTGGCTAGGAATTCAACTGCTTTTTCCAAGGAAGATAACAGAATCCAACACAAGTCAGAGTCTCTACCGTGAATAAACCAAAATGTCCAATAAACAACCAGAAATTACTGGACATGTGAAGAGAGGAAAATAGGATCCATCAGCAAGAGGAAAAGCAGTTAACAGAAACAGACCCTGGGATGATCCCAATGTTGGGATTAGCTAAGATTTTAAAAGACTATTATGAAAACGTGCAATGAACTCAAGGAAGAGATGATCGTACTGAGTAGCCAGCTGGGGAACAGAAGCAGAGAAAAGGAAACCACAAGAAGAACGGAGTAGATTTTCAACTTAGCTGCCTCTCGGCAATGCAGGCAGCATTCACTGTTCTCTGCGACAACACAATCCTCGGGCATCTCTCCTCGCACGTGAGCACGAGGGCATGCTTTCTCAGGAGAGGAGGGGGTGACACAGAAGGAGGGGCTCTCCTGCAGTTCCCAGCACAGGCCAGGGCTGTGTGGGTGTCAGGACACCCAGTGCAGCACTGCCCAGCCACAGCCCAGGACACGGTCCCTCTGCAAACCTGCAGCCTCGGTCTGGCAATAACCTTCCCGCAGCCCCTCACACAGAAACCAGAGCCCCTGCATGGTCCGAAGGCTTCCTGCCCGTGTTGGCGCCCGGAGCCCCTGGCATGCCCGCACCATCAGTTCCTGACTGCCTGCTCCCCCAGCGACACCAGAGGGTTGCCTTTCGCTTGCCCAGAAACTCCAGACCAGCAAACTTCTCTGATATCCTGAGAACCACACCTTCTGCCTGGGAGATGGAGCCCCTTCCTCATGCTCTTCGCTGGGTACTTTCCATCAGACCTAGCGGGCCATGTAGTTTCTCGTATCCTATAGTAACTCTCTCATCATAGTTGATGATTCTTTAAACTTTCTGTTTAACCTACCATTTCTAGCTCCTGACTGGACTCAGAATGCTAAAGAACCAAACAGAAATTCTAAATCCAAAATTCTAAATCTAGAAAGCACAATAAGTGAAATGAAAAATATACCAGAGGGGCTTACTGGCATATTGGAGACCAAAGGAAGCCTCTGTGAACCTCAAGACTAAGCAATGGCAATTATCCAGTCTGAACAAGGGAAAGGAAAAGGATTGGGAACCAAAGGCCAGAGGCTCATGACCCACAAGGCACTGCCAAGCAGTCAAGACACACGATACCTGTAAGTGAAACGAGGAGACGGAGAGACAGGGCACGAAGAATATTCATAAAAACAGTGACTGAAAACCTCCAAACTAGGGGAAAACCAAGATGAAGATCCAGGGAGCTCAACCGTGTTAACGTTGTCTCTTCATTTCTGCATCTCAACGCCAGAACGTGCCTGGGCCCTGTTGACCCTGGAGGGGCAGTGAGCTAACTCCTGGAAACAGTCAACAACTCCCGGGAGCTCGCCGTTCAGATGTAAACCAGCCAGTCCAGAGCCCACACCCCGACCTCCTCCTCTACAGGGCTCTCACACTCCAGGCCAGTGGGCTTCTGCCCTGATCACCCAGGACAGGTCCCAACAACCAGGGACAGCCCCTAGGCCCCAGAGCCCACTGGCCAACCCTAAGCCTGCTCACCCTGCTGGGTCCTTCCCATGGAAACCACAGTGAAGGCTCTTGCCCACCTTTTCCCTGCTCCCTCTGCCTCCTGACTGACCTGGTGCTTCCTCAGGTGGCCCGGCGTGGCCCAGTGTGGCCCTGCGTGGCCCAGCGTGGCATGGCATGCCTCTTATTTCTAGAGAACTGTGAGTGTAAACTTTTTCCTCGTGACTGTCATCCTGTATCTGCGTCACTTAGCCCACCTGAGGAAAACAATTCCAGACACCCATAAAACATCAGCAAACCCAGGAAGCTCAAATGTGAAGAAAACCGCAGCCAGGCACCTCGTAGACAAACTGCTAAACACCAAAGACAAGAGAAATGCTTGAAGCACCCAGAGGGACGTTACACGTAGGAGACAAAGAACACAGACAACGGCTGAAACCACGGGGACGAGATGACGAATGACATCTTCAAAGTGTTGGAAGAAACAACGGTGACGACTCGGAATTCTGTTTCACTCGAAAATGTCCTTCAAGAGTAAAGGTGAATGGGGGCTGGCCCGGTGGCACGGCGGTTAAGTTCGCGCATTCCACTTCGGTGGCCCGGGGTTCACTGGTTCTGATCCTGGGCACGGACCTACTCACCGCTCATCAAGCCACACTGAGGCGGCGTCCCACATAGAAGAGCTACAACTCTACAACTATGACATACAACTATGTACTGGGACTTTGGGGAGAAAAAAAAGAGGAAGATTGGCAACAGAGTTAGTGCAGGGCCAATCTTCCTCAAAAAACAAAAAAAGAAAAAAAAAAGTAAAGGTAAACTAGAGACATTTCCAGATAGACAAAGGCCGAGAGGACTCCCAGCCACCAGACTTTACCACAAGAAATGCTAAAGGGAGCTCTTCAGGGGCAGGGGAAAGATTCGAACAGCATATTAACCACGCTACTAAAGGCCTCCCAGGACCCCGTCCAATAACTAAGGAAACCTTCTCAAGTGCACGTGGAATGTGCACCAAGATAGAGCATGCACTGGAACATAAAATAAGTCTTAATAAATTTAAAAGAATTGAAATTGTACAGTATATTCTCTAACCCAAACGGAATCAAATTAGAAACCAGTAGTGGTAATAAATCAAGAAAATCCTCAAGTACTTGAAAATGTTAACAGTCATTATCTTTGGGTAAAAAGATTACAGATTTTTTTTTTGGCCTTGATGCTTTTCTCTTTTCTATAAAATTCAGTGTTGAGTATGTATTAGTTTGGAATTATATTTTTTTAAAGTATTTTTAAATTATCTTTCTTCAACAGCAGAAGCAACATTTTTCTTCCTTGAAAACAAATTAAAATTAAATTTTAATTTAAATTAAATTTAATAAGAGATTAAAATCACATATTGAGAAATCATTTCCAAAATTAAGAAGCTGAGAAGTTTTTCTTTCCTCTGATCTATAAAAATTAGGAATAAATGAAAAAATTTTTTCTTATATAGATTTTGTACAAAAAAATCAATTTGACTTTTGTTTACAAACCGAGGTCCCCATTTACCGCAACTGAGAAAGCTCACGTGAAAACACGTCACTACTCTCCCATTGCTCGGCCTTCCACTGCCCACCCAGGATGCCTTCTCCGGGCGGGCTGAGGCGCACAGGCCCTCACTGCCCCCTGTCTCGTCCCAATCCTGTAACTCGCGGGGACTCCCAGGACCACCGCCTTCTCTCCAGGGGACTCTGACTACGCGGCTCATCCTGGGCATCTCAGTGGCGGCCCCACCCGCACCCTCAGTCGCCTGGAGGGCTGCAGCCTCAAGGCATCTGAAGACCTTATAGAAAGAGCAGCCAAGGGGCTGAGTGACTTTTGTGCTGCAGGAACAAGAAGCTGCTGGAAAACATCCTGGACGTGAAGCTTTGTCAACCTCGATGCCACGCACGGGACCCCACTTCTGAAGAACGCGCTGGAAGCCGGCAGTGAAATACCCGTGACGAGGAGGGTGGAGGAGACGGTCTCCGCGGGGCGCTGAGGTGCAGGTGGCAAGAGTGGGGCCATGAGGCTGCGCACTGGGGACCGGGGACGTGCACCTGCCCCGACAGCCGCCACAAAGACCCACCAAAGGACGTTTCTCCAAACTTAACAAAGTACAAGACACACGGCGACTGCACAACGACACCCTGCAAGTGTAAACAACGTCCACTACAGGCAAGCATGCAGAATGGCTGGTGTGTGTGCAACGGTTCTCCCTTTCGAAGCAAACCAGTCTTACTTATGCAAAATGCAAACACTTCACCAATAACAGCTGTCACTTATCTATAAGAAAACCTTAATATATGAATGATTCTTTTTTTTTTTTTTTTTGATGAGGAAGATTGGCCCTGAGCTAACATCCGTTCCCAATCCTCCTCTTTTTGCTGAGGAAGACTTGCCCTGGGCTAACATCCGTGCCCATCGTCCTCTACTTTATATGTGGGACGCCTCCACAGCATGGCTTAACAAGCAGTGTGTAGGTCCATGCCCACAATCCGAACCTGTGAACTCCGGGTCACCAAAGTGCAGTGTGTGAACTTACCCACTATGCCACCAGGCCGGCCCCTATAAATGATTCTCTGAGTCCTCCTTTTCCAGGAAGGCAAGGGGCGGGCTCTGTAAGCCAATGTAAATAACGACTGCGGGCCACAGCAGCCAGCGGAGGCGCAACCACGGCCGCCATCTCTGCTTGTGCTAACCTTACCTCTTTCCGCTCTGCATCTGCCTGAACTCGAGCCTGGGCCACCGCGGCTTCCCGGTAGGAGCTGGCCTGCTTGGCTTGTTCAAACAGCGTCTTCAGTTGCTGTGCAGTATTGAGCAAGGAATTGACCATCTCTTCCAGGTACAGCCAGCTCCGCTGTTCTGACATTTCCAGCCCATTGACCACGGTGGGAGAAACGGCTTTGGTTGGGGTGGAGGGGGGCACCGCCAGGGCCGGCAGCGATGTCAACACTAGAATGTTTGAAGCAAAATAAAATAAGAAATTAACACATTTCCTAGCTTCAGAATGCCCTCCATTCAAAGTTCTCATCAGATGTCGGAAAGGCAGGTGGTGAAGTGATCGCTAGGCATAAATGGCACGTGACCGCCTCCGCAGACACCCCAGCAGAGGTGGAGACACCACGTGTTCAGAGCTCCACGCTTCACAATTCCTAATGCCGCCCCCAGAACACTCCTGCTAAGGCCGCACGTGTGTACAGGCTGGAAGTGGGACGTTCTATATGACACCGACACACCGCAAGCAAAACACGCCCTGGGCAAGGTGCACGAAGCAGCACAGAGCAGCGAGGGGGCAGGGACAGGTGAGGGAAGTGGCTGCAGACTGAATCGCAGCCACAGTACACCAGACAAAGAACTCAAGTCTCCTGGCTGGTTCCGCTCACTAGGAAGTCCTCCCGGACGTCTGTGCTCACACACGGGAAGTGACTAAGGATAACGAGAGTTGGGTTTCTCATGGTTGGAGAGGAAAGTTACAAAGATGGAAAGGGAAGAAATGAGAATGAACCCTGTGGTTTTGGACGGGAAATGGAGACAGACCTAGAACACAGATGCACATGTGGGCGCACACATTCCCTGCCTCTGCCCACTGATGGCTGGGGCAGAGACACCCCAACAGCAACGAGTGCACCCAGTGTGTGCTGTTAAGTGTCCAGCACCCAGCCTTCCAGGAAAATAACCCTGACTTGTAGCATTTGCCACTTTCCTGGTGTCAACACTCCACCAAGGCCTTTTTCCAGCTCCCAACTCGGGGTCAGTGGATGTGGGCTGGAACGAGACACACAGCGCTCGAGAGCCATGACGAGCAGCTCCAGCCCACTGCGAGCAGGGCCAGACCTCGGCTTTGAAACACCATGCCCCGCTAATGGGGTCAGGACTCCTGGAGGAGCCTCCAGCGCCTCCTTGTGCCAGAAATTAAGGAAGTGCTCCAAGAAAGATGAGGCAGGTCAGAGGGCAGAGAACGCAGCAGCAGTTCAAAGGGCTTCCGCTGGCCAAATCTGGGATAATCTGAGCATAAATAATGACACTAACAGGTTACAACACACTGAATACAACAGGAAACCACGAGGCCACACTGAAGAGAGTAAATGAGCACGCAGGTGGGCATGGGCTGAGGGGCGCCCGCATGCAGACCCTGCTGGCCACACAGGGAGGGCACACCTTCATCCAGGGCCGGGCAGGCCCCCTGGCCCCAGCAGATTCACCAGGGACGCGGCATGGCCGAGGGGCTCACCCTGGGCCAGGGGCTGGGGCCAAAGGCAAGGTGTGGGAAGGAGGCAGAGCCACTGGTGAGCTTTCAGGATGGAAAGAGTCTGAACAGGCAAAGGGGACAATGATGAAACAAGTCAGCGAGAATGAGAAGGGAGGGCATGTACTACACTTACGACAAGTTTCTATCTTTGCTCCATCGTCTGTAAGGGAGAGAAACGTAAAAATACAAATGTCCACCAGATGGGACAATGATGCTCCTTCAAAAAAGTCTAATGATACAGGCACGTGTCCAAAATCTGAAGCGAAGTGAAAAACCAAAATCCAAAGGCAGATGCAGTGTGACATCACCTCTAAGTCTCCGCGGGCGCGATGCCACGTCTGTGCCCCTACCCCTTCTCTCAGCAAACGTGAGTGCTGGAGCCGGCTCTGGGGCGGCGGGCCGGCCGGGGAGCGCGCAGCCTCAGGGCGCAGGCAGACGGAAGACCCGGCTTCCTCTGGAAGGGCCCCACAGCACTTAGGCTTCGTGGTCCACGGCCTCTCCGTGAGCACTCTGCCGTCACAGCCGAAGCAGCCTTACACGACACACACACTGACACGGGACCCGACTCACAAACACAGGCGGCCCCCGATCCAGCGCAGCAGTGGAAAAACCCCAAACCAACGGTACCTCACTCAGACCTTCTCTCACAAGAAGAATTCTGAGGCCACACCCCGCGTGCCGTGAATCCTTCCACACTGACCTATTTTGGGATGAGCGGTCGGCAGCGCTGCTTCTGGGAAGGGTGCTATCTGACAGCTGTCCTGATAGCCGGGGTAGTGGGGCTCCGGGTGGCCGACTCTGCACGGCGGCTGCACGCCGGCTTCCTGGACTATCAGAGAGAAAGGGGACAAGACGGCCTCGTGACCCAGCTGCCGGCTGCACAGATTTCAAATCTCAAACTGTCTACAGCTGCACCATCCAACGGGTGGCTTTGGGCCCCGTGTGGCTACCGAGCCCTGGAAATGCGGGAGTCTAAACTATTGAAATGACAGTATTTGGGATATATTGGGTGAAATAAAACACAGTACAAAAGTTACTTCCCACTGTTTGCTTCTACTTTCCCAATGTGGCCGCTAGAATGTTGACAACCACACACCATGGTCACATGTTCCTATCGGACGGCGCTCGTCTAGAGCTGGGGTCCCCAAACTCTGTGAGCACTGTCAGCTTTTCAGGTTCCATGGTCTCTGTCACTCCCACACCCCTACCTGCCCCACACCTACCTGCCCCCCACACACACCCCTACCCACCCCCCACACC